TTTTTTTTTTTTTACCTGAGCTGAAAGTCTCTCTGTTGCTAAGGTGTCCACTGCGTTCTGTGCATCTGCCAGTCTCTCTGAAAAGCTCTCTGGTTGCCTCTCATATTCCTCATAAGTCTTATTCTTTCTTGCTTTCTTTCTTTCCGAGCATTCCTGCAGGAATCTTGTATACACAGCGTGCCTAGCTTCTATTCTCTCGCGGATGCACTAAATACGCTTTGAGGCGTCTCCTAGCTTTTCTACGTCTGCATCTTCCTTGAAAATTCTCTTCACATTCTCTAGGTCGTCTCCTAGCTTTGAAGCAAATCTGGTAAGGAAGATCTTGACTGTCTGCGACATTTCCTCTCACCATGGGCACTAATTAAAATATGTAAGGCCTCTCTATTTGCGCAATATTCTAAGGACTTTGAGTCCTGTACAGCAGTCAAACTTTTATGACATGTAATCAGTCGCTAAGCTACTTCACTTTATTTAACACATTACTTGACAAAAGAAAGGGATCAGGACAGACAATAGATGTAAAAAAAAGCAGCTACGCTGGGCACATGATACAGTTGATACAAAGGAATTGCTGACCTTTACGGTGAAATTTGGAAATTTCGTAAAAGATAGACCGGTAAGAGAAAAATACACACATGTACCAATACCGAAATTAAGGAAAATTTTCAGCTAAATCATAATATTCCTCAGCCTCGTAGCTTGCTGTTTCTCCGAGAGGATGTTAAGGCACGTTTTGTCCCCCATTTAAGCAGGTTTTCTGCCGCCTGCCTAAACAAAGACTCTTAATCAAGCCATACACGTTATCGACCCTACAAGTCAAGCAGTTTTTGGCACAAAAGCCCGATTCGTCCATTTCAAGCTGAATCTGAATGAAAGAAACAGTGCCCACACATGCTTTCCCAACAAGAATTGTTGCACTGGTGCAACAGGCAGAACACCGTCCTTGCGGTAAAGAGGTGATAAAAAAACTGACCAGTACCCACCAGAAGTAAAGCAAAGCTTCATGGCGCTTGAGAAATTGAAATTCCTAGACGAGCACAAGATGACAGCTAAGGCCTAATTAAAATTCGTTATACTGCTAATAATAAGTTTTTTTTCATAGACTTTTTCACAGTTATGCTAGATTAGAATCTTACTTCAAAGGAAAGGAAACCATCAGAATCTTTACTTCAACTTCTTTTATCACTAAAGTTGCCATTCTTCTTCCTTCCGTTTGCTGTTTGACTCCTGCTTCTATGTTTTTAAAGCACAGAAAGACGTAATTTCACCCGTTCTTCTTTACCTCTCGTTCCTAGATGACTATCGCAGAAAAAAAATAATATTTCTTTGTACTTTCCGGACTTGCTGCCACGCGGGTCTTTCCTGCAATTTAAGTTCTGCGAGTATAATCTTTTACTTCTGTCCAAATGCAGTACAACTGATATATGGGAAATAGCAATATTAATAACTGTGTGAGGAAACTAATGACGGGAGGTTACCACAGTGGATAACTCAGCAAAGGTCGGGAAGGGGAAACTTCCAAGAAAACAGTAGAAGGGCAGAAGATCAAGAAGAAGCCTCGAAAGAAGCCCCGTTATTTATTCTTCCCATTTTTATCCTCATCATTTTCCTCAAAATACTATAAGCAAATTAATTATACAATAAAATACGTTGTAATATTGACATTGATTATATCATGTTACTACACTAGCAATTAATTACAATCGACAAATTGTTTACCCCCTTTTCCTGACAACCAGAGTTTATAAGCCCGGTTGCCTCTGTTGTTAGGGGATAGAGCAGTTAGAAGTGGACTTGTAAACATTTCTGGTAATCTCGGTTGGCACTTGTCGAAGAGTCCTAAATCATTTACATTAATTACGGTGGTCCACTACAGGAGTCACCTGCGTCCTTCCGAGGGCTCACCGTCCTCACATTAATCTTGCGATTTTACTATTCCTTTGTTATTTACCGGATCTCTTCGCTAATTTAGCTACAATGACTGCTGCTTCTAAGCCTGAAAGTGCCTGTAAATTAAGTTAAGGTTAGTTTCCTAATCAAAATGATAAAATTTAGACCAATGTTTTAGTAAAGAGACTACATTCTTTTTACAGGAAACAAGCGGCTGTATAAAGTCATTAACCGTAATAAATTTCCACATCTTCTCGCTTCCTGAATACTCCTAGCCTTGCAAAAATTCTAGAGTTAAAATAATAGCACTTAATAATGGACAGATGATTAGGATAAGCCAAGAGGGCAGCTACGCGAAGTTCGACTGCAACAATATTTGATAGGATTTAAGTTATGCATGCAATTCTCTCTTATTTTCCAGTCCTACAAAACTTTCTTTCCAGCTATAAAGCAAAATGTGCTAAGATTACCACAGATTACTTGTATTTCATCAGAGTGGAATTCCCCTGTAGCTTTCTGACCATGAGGTAATATTTTTAAATTAATATGCACTTCTTTATAACATAGCTATATGATATGAAAGATT